TGCAGGAATTAAATCGGAGCAAATGCCTTCGGCAGCGAGCTGGAGCAGCGTTTCTTTGTTCTGGCGAATACTATTGATCAGTTCTAAGTGCGTATTCCAACGAGTAGCAGAGATCTGGCAGAGAGCTGGATTGAATTTTTCTATGATCCCCGATTGCTTAGCATATTTGATGACATCTTTGCAAGTTGTCAGAAGCAAAGACACTTCTTTGAGCATTGGGTCCTTCTTGAGTTTTTTAGGCTTGAACGTATTTGTCAAGGTAGAATTTAGGAGATGTGCCGAAAAGCTGATTCGATGCTCAGTTGGAAATGCCGCGATCATGTTGTTCCCGCGGTCTGTCACGATCACCAGATATGATAAATTATCGATTTTGAAATCGGATAAGATGCTTTCGATCGAGCTGCGAATGTTTTCCGCCGATTTATCCTCCAACGTGTAATGCCTAACACCGAGGATGCGATCATGGAGAACCCAATTACCATCGATGAAATGAGCAGTTACTGCCATGTACGACAATTTTCTGTAATCATCGCTCCACATATCAGCAGTGATCACTCCGCGATTCGAGAAATCATTATCGTCCAGAAGCTTGGAAAGTTTCTCCAATGCTCTATTTGCCAACTCACTGGTGCATCGGCCCACGGTTCTCCGATCAGGTATCAATTCAGATGCATCAATTTTTCCTCGGCTAGCTCCGATATCAATAGCAGTCTGAATGAGCTGAGCAAAGCCTGGACCAGCAACGATGTTGTAGGGGCGAATATCACTGGCCACAAAAAAGGCACACGATTCCTTGAATTTTTCCTTGTCAGCTGAACTTGGCTTCTTGTCAAAAAATTTGGTCATTGAATGAGACGATGCCACAGCCCCTCTCAGCTGGGAGCATTTGTGATTCCTCAGTCCAAAAGTACCGAAATCAGCTGAAAATGGATAAACCTCCTAACAGTAATTGCAAAATTCAATCGATCGCCATTTTCGTGTTTATTGAATGTTTTTTAGCTTTTGAGAATACAGTATATACTGTAATATAATTTAGATATATTTAGGATTATCTGACGTTTTGTTTAATAATTGGAATATTACCAAATTTACCGTTTTAAATAGGCTGGTGATTTCAATGAACGCACATGAATATTTTGAAATATGCAAAACTTTTAATAAATTGTGTTATTAAAAAAAATTCTCAGGTGGACTTTCTTGTTATTTACCGATATATACTTGATTAATGGATTAGTAAGTTTTCTCTTTTTGGGAATATGAAAATCTGAACTGCCTAGATGTATCTCAAATCAGGTGTCTAAATTTTACAGTTCTTTTAAACAGAGAAGTAAATTAGCATCCACTAACGAATGCTAATGTTTTCTAAAGAATTAATTGTTGCTAGGAAGCCTTATAATTACTTTTTAGAACTGAGATGTAATTACAAGGCAGTCATACAGTTTTCTTAAAGTATCTCTTTCTGTACTTCAATTTTTCTTTTGAGAACTGCTGCAGTTTGTTCTGTCTTTTCAAAATGATGCCCAATTTTACAGTTCTCACATAAACCCTTAGTGCGTCAAGAAGGATCAAGTGGGCAGGTAACTGTGTGTTAAATTTTTTCTAGTAATCCAAAGAGTAGACTAGGTGGTCCTCTGTTCCTTCCTTGCCAAGAGACCAATCGAGTAATAATTATGATGTCACCCTCATAAAGTTGGTTTTGACCATAGCAAGACTTAGTCGTCAATAGCCTTGTTTTATCATCCTCTGGTAACTAGTTGTTGATTTTCCTTCGTAAAATGCTTGTTTTTTGTGGTATTCTTGTCTTCTTGTTATCCTTGCTGCTGTCCACTGTTCCCTCTAAGCTGCGCGCATGCGCAATTGCGCACTGCTGACACGGTCTCCGCGGACAAAAAAATCCAACCGCTCACAAAAAAAGATCCAACCTGAATAGCTCATTCTGTGCTATTTTGCAATGTGAGTCAGTGAGTGACCAGTGACTGGCTGCTCCAGCCAATGATGCGATTCACATACGTATTTACGCAGCTAATCAATGTCATTGACAAGCTATGACAGTGTCCTTATGTGCCGCCACCGGTGTTTTAGCTAGCAAAGCGGTGTGGCTGATGTGGAGTGAAGACACGCTAATGATGCTAAGTGCTGCTTATGTTGACCCTTTATAATAATGGCAAAACGAACGGGCAGTGGCACATCCCCTCACCAAGCCAAAGTAAAAAAGAAATGTGATTCTTTTAAGATGGAATGGCTGTCAGAGTATGTGCAAACAGAAGAAAAAACGGTGAAACTGGGTGAGATTTTTTCTTTTTCGAGCGAGAAAGGTCTGCTCTGCAAAACATGTTGCGAAGCCAAAATAGCAAGCAAGTTTTCGGAGAGAAAAGTGTGGACAGAATGGAAGCTGGACTACCTCAAGCGTCACATTCAGCACAAAAGTCATTTGAAAGCGGTTGGAATTGTAAGAAGATGTAAGATGGGATAATGGTATAATGGAAATAAAAAAAATCAGCGAATTCCTGTAAAAAAGTTCAGGTGGGCGGTAAATCACTATGACTATGATTATGGTGCATTGCCGCATCCAACACATGGCAAACCACCTCAGGGATGAGAACCATGCGGCAGGCGATACCTCAGCACCACACTAGTCCGAAAATACTAGTGTGAGTTTTTTTCCCCCCAGTTCCCCCCAATTATGCCACCAAGTCCCAAGTTTTTCCCCGCAAGTTGTAGGACCTCTTTATAGGGCTGGATGTAGATTACTGTCACACCCAGGACAAAGCAATTGCAGGTTAAGGGCCTTGCTCAAGGGCCCAATGGAGTAGAATTAGTCTGGGCATTTACAGGATTTGAACAGGCAACCTTCCAGTTGCTGGCACAGATCCCTAGCCTATTTATTTATTGCAAATTTACAATACAATAAAAAAAAATCTTTGGCGACCAACTTTAGTGATTTGAACCTCAAAAGAATCATATTGAGCAGTATTTATTTTATGCCACATAAACATTGAATTGTAAATCAATGCTAGCTCACCACCCTGGCCCAACAGAAAGCGCTCATTCAAATAAACATAAGCATTAGGCTTCTGCCATGTGTCAACTAAAAACAGAAAGTCCAAATTGTTAGAGCAGAATATATCATCTAAAATAAAATTCTCATTAGAAACTGAGAGCACATTAATCTAAATCTAAACAAGAATTTTGAAGTATGGAGGATATTTTAACATTCAGGAGTTGTGCAAATGTTGCATCAGCAGCCAGAGTGGAGGAATAATACAAGCATAATGCAATGTAATTATGTGTGCATTTTGTATACATACAGTCAGTCAAAAAAAAAAATCCATACATTACACAGTTACTGAAAACACACTAACCTCTGAAGAAAAACAAATACATGTCTCCTTCGCCAAATTCTTTATGACGCCCTTAAATTCATCAATGGAAATTAATTTAGCTAATTTTAGGTTGTTCTGCAGATTATTCCATGTCCATGGTGCATAGTAAGAAAATGCAGTTTTCCCCAGATTGGTGAAAACTTGGGGTACAGTATAAAGTAACCACTTGGAGAAACGTAGCTGGTAACTTCCGAAGCTGAGACAGAGTAGGTTACAGAGATAAGCTGCTAATTTACCCAGTATTGCTTTATAGATAAAAAATATGCCAATGCTGTTTTCTGCGAGTGGTCAATGATGTCCAGCCCACTCAATCATAAAGAATTCAGTGATAAGAGACTTTGCATTGCAGTTTACTTTGACTTTGATATCTGATATTACTATAGGCATAAATTTCTATGTTTTTTCTGTCTGAACATCATAACCTTATTTAACCTGTACCAGAGCATGTGAGCGGAGCGGAGCGGCGAGAATTTCCGCTCCTCGCTCACGAGGCTGTTGGCTCCGCCCGCTCCTCCACTCTAATTCGCACTAAGCCGCTCCACTCAACACCGCTCCTCGCTCCACTAAAATGTCCTCCCGCTCCAGTCAAATCGCTCCACGCTCGCTCAAATTTAAAAGAGGAACAAATAATCTGCATGCTTAACAAATGTCACCTTAAACCGAAGCCTTATGTCATAAAGAAATATGAGCAAAGGCAACATGGCCAGTCAGAACAGAAAATATTTATTTTTAAGCAACCTATCGGCAACAACGGACAGGTTTG